GGGGCCATCCCGGCCGCCTCCCCCGACAGCCCCACGCCCTCGGGCACAAGCGGCGGCGGCGGGGGCGTGGCGGGCATGCCGGCCCCCAGCCGCTTCCACCACACCTACCTCCCGCCGCCCTACCCCGGGGCTCCGCAGAACCAGAGCGGGCCCTTCCAGGCCAACCCGTCCCCCTACCACCTCTACTACGGCGCCTCGTCCGGCTCCTACCAGTTCTCCATGGTGGCCGGCAGCAGCGGCGGCGGGGGCGAGCGCTCGCCCACCCGCATGCTGGCCTCCTGCACCAGCAGCGCCGCCTCGGTCGCGGCCGGCAACCTCATGAACCCCAGTCTGGGTGGCCAGAGCGACGGCGTGGAGGCCGACGGCAGCCACAGCAACTCGCCCACTGCCCTGAGCACGCCGGGCCGCATGGACGAGGCCGTGTGGCGGCCCTACTGACCGTGGGTGGACGCCTCCTGCTGGAGGCAGGGACCCCACCGCCCTCCCCACAAGGGACTGGCCCAGCTCCAAGGCTCTGGGCAGGAATGGTACTGATGCTCCATGGTTCCAGGGTCCAGAGCTGGCAGGTGGCTCTGAGAGCATCTATGGAGCCACATCTTTGTACAGAGGCAGTAGGTGCCTCCCCCAGGACACTGCCCCCGGCCCAGATCTTAGTCATCTCATCCCACATTCCTGCAGGAAATTACCCTTCTCCCGCCACTCCCCCAGAATGACCTCGCTGTCTCGGCTGTGCCCAGTGCTGTCACAGGCCGGTCTCCTGGAACAGAGACCATCTCTGTCCTAGAGAGAGGTGACATTTGCCCACAGGGTAAACCACGGGGCTCTGGGAAAATCTCTCCACCCCCTACCTTCCTCAGAGGCCCTGTACCCTGTGGACCCAGCCTCTCTCTGCATTGACACAAATTGAGTCAGAACTGGAAAGCCCCCCAACCCTGAGAGGGGTTCCCCTCATTGTATAGATGGGGAAGGACCCAGGACATTGCTGGCACAGACGGGACGAGAACACGCCCACACTAGTGTCCCAGCCCTGCTTCCCTACAACTCCTAATAGCTGAGAAGCCCCCTGACCTTGTCCCAGCTGCCGTGGGTCCCAGGCCCCAGAGTAGTTTAGTCTATGGCAGCAGGTCCCTAAAACGAGGGAAGGCATCTGCAGACCAGGTCCTTTCATGCACTTTACCAGCCCAAGGCATTCCCAGTCTATTCTTGGGGGGGAGCGGGGGAGGGAGTGAAGGTGGACAGGGGGTCCCTTTTTCCCCTAGGCTGGTCTCATAATTTCCATTTCTGGAGAGAACACAAGGGCCAGGTAGGTCCTAGCAGAAGCACTGAGGCAAGGGGTCACTGGGTCAGACATAACATCCCTGTCCTACCTCAGTCCAGCCAAGTTGTGCCCTCCCACCCCAGCCTCCTGGGAAGGCCCAGCCAAATCTTCCAACTCCTGACACACAACTCTATTTTTGACCTGTTTGTGCTCCAAAAGCAAACAGTCTTAAGCAAAACCCAATGTTTAAAACTGATCTTAGAAAGAGAAGGTTCAGTCCATTTTCAAACAGGTAACATTTTCAAACGGAAGGTCTCTTACAGGTAAAGCCCCATGATGGGGAACCCCATCCCCTCCCCCTGCCCCACCCCAGCCTGCTGTCTTCTGGGACTGTGGGGTTCTGAGGGTCTCAATACCTCCTCATGTGGTTATGCTCCCTCAGCAGCAGCCCACCAGCCTCTGCCAAAGGCGACCCTGGAGAGGACCCAGGAAAACACTGGCGAGATGCTGGACTGTCTCATCTGTGGCTCTTGGACATCTGTCCAAGGGGGTATGTGGGTGTCCTGGTAGGGGTGAGCGGGACGTGGGAGGTGCGAGCCCTGGCTGTGTGGTGACAGAACAGAGAGCTGTAAAGGGCTCCCCACTGCAGCTCAGCCCTGTGCGCAGAGGTGTAGTATTGCCCGGGATTTTGTGGATGAGGAAGCAGGCCTTGTCCAAGGGCTCGGACCACATGGATTCTTATGTCTGAGCTCTTTAGTTTTAGAAAGGCTTGGGTGGAAAAAGACAAGAAAACGCTTAAGGGCTAGACAGCATGTGGGTTTTCATAATTGTTTCAGCCACATCCTCTGGATGTGGAAATCTCCCCAGCACAAGGCTCCTTAGTGGTTGTTTCTGTCACAGCACTTGGCCTGCCATGCCACCCCCAACCTGTAACAAGAGCCAGACACAAACTCTGGTAAGGTTAGGAAGTCCTTCTGGTGATCCTATTCAAATCCCTCCTGCTGCAGTGTCTCATATCCTGCCCTCACTGAAAAAGCAGTCTCCATCTCTTCAAAATAGCTGGTGGGGGGCTCCTGCTGACCCCTTCACCCAGGGGGCCGCTCCACCCTGTCTCAGGGAGCAGCTGCAAATCCATGGCCCTTGTACTTGTCACTTCTGTTCCCTGTGGTTGTAGACTGGCCCCAGGCCAGCGTGGGAGGCGCCTTTGGGTTCCCAGTGCCCGGCACTTTGAAACCCTGCCCCAGATTACTATCCCTTCCCAATACCCAAGCTCTGATGGGGGCAAGGATGGGAAATAAATTGACCCCTGCTCCTCCCACACCACCCCTCACCCCTGACAAAAAGTGGTGGCAGCCATGCTGAGTCTGTTTTTAAGGCCCATAGTGGGTACAGACAGCCTGGGCTGGTAAAAAAAAATGGGTCCTTATTTACAAGGCTGCTTTGAAGTTGTACTAGGCAAACACACTGATGTAGAAAGCACAAGGAAATGAATGGAATTTGATACATTACTGTAAGCCTGTCGGTGATGGTTACAGATCCTTTGTGACATATTGTCATGCTGAGGTGTTCATACCTGCTACACTCGCATCTTCCATAAAACCGTCCCAGAGCCGGGAAGCGGGGAGGGATAGGAGCTGCTTTGCACTATCGTTTGCTTGGTGTGTTTGTTTTTAATGCACAACTTGCTTGTACAGTAAACTGTTTGTCTTCTGTACTATTTAACGTAAAATGGAATTTTGACTGATTTGTTACAATAAGTCTGAGATGTGTTGAAGGAACTCAATGCCAGGCTTCAAGGGCCGTGTGGGTGAGGGGGGAGCTGGGGGAAGAAGACTCCCCCCACCCCGCCATTGCCCAGAAGGCCTGGGGGCAGGAACAGGGCTGAACCTGCTGCTTTGGAGACGCCTGGCACCTTGTCCTCCTGGCATCCAGCTCTATCAGGAATGGTCACAGAGACCCTGGCCCAAGGAGAGCTGATAAGACCTCCTCCTGGTGTGGCCAGAACCCCAGAAGAACATCAGACAGGTCTTCAAGGTGCCACCAACCCCTTCTCCCCCCACGAGCAGCCTCTGATTCTTCACAAGGGAACAGAAGTAACCGTGCACCTATTCCAGCTCGTTCTCCAGACCCAGGTGTGGGGAGGAGCAGAGGGGGCGCCATGCTGCCTTGCTGAGAGTCACCGTTGGCATTTCTGTTTGCTGGAGCCGTAGCAAGTTAACCAGGACTGGAGGCAAGCAGCTGCTTCAGCGCCCCCATTTTGCAGACGAGGTGACTGAGGTGCAAAGAGGGTTGTCATTGGGTTCCACGTCTCCCTAGAGTTGTTCATAACTGAGCAGGGACCACAGCCCAACGATGGGGGCTGTAAGTGTGATGATGTGGGGACCTGGCTTGACAACCCCTTCCCCATCCTGCCAGTTAGGAGGCCTGACCCACTCAGGGTCCAGCCAGCTGGGACCTGTGGAGGGCAATTTTCACAAAACAGACCTTATTTTTGAGTGATGACCTCTTACTTCAAAAACTAGTCCCCACACGTTGCCCTGATGAGTTGGGTCGGTCTGCCCAAAACTGAACACCCAACAGGAAGTTGCCATTTGCCCAGCCTGGTGTACCCCCTGCCCCAGGGAGCAGGGTCCCGCCATAGCTGCAGACTCTCTCTATGGGCCTGCTCCTGTGGTGCCTGCCAGGAATAAGCAGGGCTGGTCCTGAAGCAGCGTCTGCATGGCCAACACTCTGCTTTTATTTGTGTTTATTTGGGGTCTCTTTGTAGGGAATAAGGGCCCTCCCCACCGGCCACACTTTGGTGCCACAGCTGCTGGGAGAGACACTGCTACCTCCAGAGCCCCTGACTCACATTTCCATGTCAAATCTGCACCCCGGCAGGCACAGACCAGCACACCCAGCTTGCCAGTGGGGAAACGGAGGCCCAGAGAAGTCCTGGCTTGGCTCGCCTGAGGTGGTGGAGCCCAGGGCTGTGGAGGAGGCGCTGCAGTAACCACAGTGGCCTGCGGGTGGCGGCAGGGGTGGGCACCACGGGGCAGACTGGAAAGAGAGAGAGAGAGCAGACATCCCCTATTGGTTAAAAGGGGGAGAAAAGGCTTCCTCGATTGCAGCCAGACTTCGGGTTAGGCATCTGAAAGAGCTTCCTAACCTCAGGAGATTCATCCCCAAAAGGGCCTAGGAAATGTGTTGGCGTGGAGGAGGGGTTTTTCCTCCCTTGGCTTACGGAGGTTGCAGGATGTCCCTGTCCCTCTCTCAGCCTCCCTTTGCATTCACATACGGTGTGTCAGGTATGTAGTAGAATCGCAGGTCCCATGACCCCCGATTGAATGAGCAACTACGGTGTGTCAGGTATGTAGTAGAATCGCAGGTCCCATGACCCCCGAAGACCCTGCTTTAGGACAGGGATTTACCTGGCTTGAAGGAAGGGTTGACTTCTGGAGACCGGTGACTCCAGCCTCCTGGAGCCTGGGCCCAGCCCTGTCCGCCTTCCCTGAGCCACAGCAGGAGCTCAGGACACGGAGCAGCTGGGCCAGGCTGAGAAGGCCACTTTGTTCCAAGTCTGGGAGCCCTTGGACTCAAGAAGTCCATTTTAGTGCCTCCAGCTTCTCCAGCCCCCACAGCCTGGTGATAGACTGAGAAAGGTGATACCAGCCTGAGGGCTCCCAGAGGAGGGCCCCTGGGTGCTGGGCTGTTCTTGGCACCTCCTGAGGGGTGAAGTGTCCCCAGACAAAGCCACCTTGCTGGCTTCATGGAGCAGCCCTGAGACAGCTAGGGCTCTGGTCATGAGGATGCCTCTGGCTTTTATTGTGAGAAATGGTCATCCTGGCACGGTTTCACAGGCCAGAGATAAGGACGTGTACCCAAGAGGGATAGTGTGAGGGTTTGAGGACACAGTGCGGAGTGGGTCAGACCTAGGCCTGCCTCACTTCTCTTCACAGACCCCTCCCCTGCCTCAGACTGCACCTCCATGAGCACAGCCCCCAGACCCCACAGCATGACCCAGGCGGCAGCTCTCAGCTGCACTGAGCACCCCAGCTTGGCCACGCGAGCAGTGAATGCACCTCAGTGGGTCGGTTCATTTTGGGGTCGTAAATGAAATGAGCTGTCAAATGGCAGGGGGCAGAGTGGAAGAATGAACTGTTCCTGGCAGACATCCAGGATGCCCCGGCTCCTTCCCACG